CCGTAACGTGTCGCGATCCCGTCCACCCCGGGAACGATCTCCGCCGGTGAGACGGGGAACACGGACGAGCCGCGCAGACCGTCCCCCGACCCGGTCGCGCGCCGTTCCGGTCAAGTGTCACGCGAGGCCGCGTCCCGCGACGGTGTCCCCGTTCGCCGATGGTAACGGAGTGTCCCCCCGAGGGACAGGCGATCGGAGGGTCCCGGGGAACGGCGAGAATACGCGGCAGGCCTCGTTGATGTCGCTCCGCGGACACGCCGAGCGGCCCACCGTAAAGCGCGCGGCGGCGAACCTCGGCCCGCCCCGTGAACCAGTTCCGCGGGACACAGCTCCGGCCACTCTTAACAATTAGACGCCGCTGCCACCCCCGACCCGACCCGGCTTCCTCGCCGCTAGGACGCAAGGATCCTCCAGGTACGCCGCCGAGGACGCAGCTCGATCCGACCATCTTCTTCGCGCTGCTACGCGGAACGCTCGCCGATCCGCTGGGAACTTTCTTTGATCAGTGCTACGAGTTCGACGAGTACTGGGGGTCCGACTCTTGATGATACTCGCGATGATGGGACGGGAAATTGGACGGTGGGATATTTCTGAACGTCGGATCCCTTCGTTTGTTGATCGCTGGAGATGGAGATTCAGGAGGGGTGCACTGAGATTCGTGTTTGATCGAACCCAGAGCGAATCGATAGTCTTGGGGCAGGAATTCTAGAGAGCTGAGAGGTGTTCCCTGGGTGTTTTGTTATCGTTGGGCTCTGTTATCTGTAACTGTCGGCGAACAGCGCGTCGGTGTCGCAGAGATGGGAATGGATAGTAGATGAACTCCCTTTCACTTGGAACAGATATTTTGTACGCGTTTTTCATTCCGTTGTAGATTGACGCGAGTAACTAAATTAGAATCGTCGCTCCGTTCTGGTACACTGGGTTTATCGAGTTATCCGCTTAATACGCACGTGTCAGATCGGAAAACCGTTGCCCGAGAATATCGCGTTCACGGTCCGGAGTGATCACTCTCGGATGCATGCATACTACCGCAGGACTCAGGATTTCAAGAGTGCAGCGCCTTCAGCTTCCCAGGATTATCCGGGATTACCGGGAACGTTCGTCTCTGAATCGCGAACTAAACGATACATCGCGTTATTTCGATCGGAGGCGCTTACCGCGGCGAGTCTCGCGGTCAATGATTATGCGATTGGCCCTTCGCTTCGCGGCAGTAACCCTGGAGATCGATCTCGCATTGAAAATCGGTGTATTCCCTGTAACTGGACCATTCACCCGTCGAATCGATGGGCCACGAAATCAAGAGTGAATAAAATTCCATCGAAAACATCGGTAAATCGTCTCACTAAGGGAACACTCGGAAATTTCAGTTTTAGGGAACAAGTAACTAGTCTTTCAGACATTCGCACTCGAAAATCACGATCTTTTCATGATCATTCTTCTAATGGGAAACTTTTCCTTAACCGTTTCCCCTTTTATGGCCCTCTGCTTACGCTCATTCTCGCATTCATGCGAAAAATATTGTCTTTAATCCAGACAATTCACTCTCGTCACTTGTCCTCGGAGTCCTCGAAGCTTCCGCAATCCTTATTAGGAGCATCGCGATATTAGACTACTGATTACACCGTATTAGAGCGTTTGAAATATTGCGACGAAACGGTGCAAAGTAGAATTGACACTAGAACTACCAAATAGTCGAAACTCCAGCAGTGTTAGTATCGAGGTTTCTATTGATTTACAATTCAATTTGCCTATTGCTGAATGAATTTCTGTAGTAATTTCTCAGAGAATGATCTGTCGCGTTTCCAACTACTCGTACGGTGTATTCTGCATATCACATGTATCACTGTGTAACTGAGTACATATATTGTTGTATTGGAGCAAGAAAATCGTCTTGATGAATTATGCTATTTATTAGGCATATAACCATAAATGAATATAGTAATTGATAGTAAACAAAGAGAAACTGATGAAATTGATTTTACATTATCATTCTGTTTACACCAGCGCGCGTTAAAGGTTAAAGAAGCAATCAGCAATGGGTCATGTTTATCTCTCTGGTAGTTCCAGTTTTAACTCCTTGCCGTACAATGACGAGCGAAACTCGCGATGAAGATTGCTAGACTAATTTAACAAGAATCAATGTTCATTACCCACGGATCAAAGTGAAAGACTATTTGCTACTGTCACTATAATATCTTCGAATGAAATTTCTACTTGAAGTAGAATGGACAATTTTCTTGCATTGCTAGATTAATTTAACAAAACTGTATGTCGTTCATTACGGATCAAAGCGAAAGATTATTTCTTACTATCACTCTATTATCTTTGAATAAAATTTCTACTTGAAGTAGAATGGACAATTTTCTTGCATTGCTAGACTAATTCACATTTGACAAAAATCAATGTCGTTCCTCACCCACGATTCAAAGCAAACAACTATTTACCTATTACTAATTCATTATCTTCAAACAGAGTCCCCACTCGAAGTAGAATATACAATTTCATCGGCCACGATTCAAAGCAAACAACAATTTACCTATCACTAATTCATTATCTTCAAACAGAATCTCCACTCGAAGTAGAATATACAATTTCCTTCCATTTCTTCGAAACTGTCGACAATATATTACACGTTCAGCATCGAAAGTAAACAGCACGCCAAGGGGTGGAATGAGTTCGCGTGATATTTACATTCGATTCGAAGAGGGGACGTTCCTCGAGCCCCTCCGTAATTTCCCGACGCCTAATTGCCCGGCCATATTTCGCCGGGGACGCTCGCGTTCCCGATCGTGTCCGCGCGCGAAAATATCGCCGACTCGGAAACGTCGGAAATATATCGGAGGGATTCCGGGTGGGCGAAACGGAGGGGTGGAAACGGAGGGAGGAGATCCTGATGGAGAGACGCGGGTCCCGGGCTGTTGCGGTTCGTTGCCGCGGTTTGATCGAAAGGGTATTTCCTCGGCATACAGGAGAAAAGTTCTTCCGGGAAGATAAACTGTTCCGCCCTCCTCGCCCCGAGCTCACCCCCCGGCCGGGAAACTTGCCGGGGAACTTCCGCGGAAGATTCACAAAAGATTTTTTTCCACCCCACCCTCGATACTCGGGTGTAATTCAAAGAAGGGCAGCGAAGTTTCGCGACGGGCCGAAAGATTCGAAGGGAGAAATTAATCATCGTCGCTCGCGCGAGAAATCGCGACGCTCGCGGGTTGAACGGCCGACGATTTTACGGGAGATAAGCTGTGTCCCCGACGATCGAGACGATTCGAGACGATTCGAGATCGGTATATTTCTGGGAATAAACGTAACAGGGAACGAGATGTTCGAGTTGTTTGGTGTTGATTCGTATTGATTACCGTGATTAGCTACTAGTTTAACCCTTTGCACTTCGAGCAGTTTTTAATGTAACCTTTCAGTAACTCCGAATCAGTTTTAACCCTTTGCACTCGAGAGGCGCCTTCCAGTCGCCATTAGATTTGACCCAAGAACATTGTAAAATTGAAAATTCAATATTAACACGTTGAACGCCGCGCGACTTCATAGAGCAAAATACACAAAATGGAGAAAATACAATATTAAATCATTTGACTGAATTAGATTATTATCATTGCACGATCATCAAACTCAATGTCACCGGAATGGGTAGCATTATTTATAATATAGAAATGTTTGCGAATAATCATCGTTTAATTGAGTGAATTATAGTAATTCGATTTGCTTTGGGGTCCACCGGTGACAACCATGGCATTCAACGCGTTAAATTTTATATAATGTACGAACACATGGAACATCGAAATAAAATAGTTCTGTCACTTAACTTATGCAAGGTATTCCTTTATGTTAGTTGCAAAAAATATCATTGACATTTCATCGGAAAATAATGAATATTTACTGAGAAAAATAATCTCGAGTGCAAAGGGTTAACACTAGAACTACCGTAACAGTCAAAATGACTGGTTCCGATTTATTTAGCAATTATCGATATCTTCGAAGCATCGAATATTCGAAATGATTTTGAAGATAGTTTCACTAGAGTACTAGAATGAATCTCTTTCAGCAACTCCGAATCAGTTTTGATATGAACTATCATCTACGAGCGTGCCTCTAAAAGATTCAAGACCCTGCTGTCTCACTAAAAAAGCGCGTACACATTTTAAAGTTACTAAAAATGAAGTTATAAACTGATCTCACAACGTCGCCGCAGTGGCAACAGAGCGCAAAGGGTCAACCAAATTGGCATGTCACACGAGAAGCTTACGCTATTTATAACCAGCAAATACCCGGTTTCCGGTAGAGTCGTTTCGCGCGTCGAACCCATCGGCCGCGAGTTCGTCACTCATTTCCAATTAGACACGGGAACAAAGAATTCGATAGCGAAGTGGCGCCGCCGAAGGGACGGGGAACTCGGAGAAATTGATTCCTCGCCGCGGAAGCATCGATATCGTCCCGGTGCGCTCCGGTAACCCTTGCCCGCCGGGTCGCGGACGTATCGCCGATACGTCGATAATTAAAAATCGGTCCGTCGGCTCCGGCCGGAGAATAATTAGCCGGCGCGAACCGTCTGTGACTCGGCACCGAATCGAGAAGTAGGTCGAACCCTCGCGCGGCGCTACGAATTAGAGGGTGGTTGACTTTCTCCCACTATCTCTCCGTTCCTCTGTTCCACCCCCGTCGTCTCCCCCGCGCTCCCCTCTCGCTCTGTCGCGCGTCGGCCGCGCTCTCTCGGCGTGCCGCATCGTTTCTGTCGGCGGATCGATCCCGGAATTATTAGGTAATTACCGCGGTGCGCCGGGAATAATTTCAGAATCGATTAGAGGGCGGCAGGAGGGGGCTGCCGGGAGGAACTTTACCGGGTGGAATTAAGTGCCGACTCGTTTAACGTCGGATCACTCGCCTCCAACCCCGATTCGCCTTCCCGCTAACGCTCGACGCTCGCGGGACGTTCTTAAATCTTCGAGGAACTTTGCACGCGCGTGCACCGCTAGGATCGGCGGAAGTTCCGCGGAGGAGGGGGAGGGCGGAGAACGTTCGGGGAACGTCCTGCTGAAAATTGGACTGGGTGAACGCGTCGCGAAAGGAGCTAATTTTATTTATTCCGACTTTACGTCGCGTTACGCTGACAGGGACAAGGGAGGAGGAATTTCGATTTGGAGGGGTTGGTTCGGATGTGGACTGTGTTCTTCGTTGAGGAACGTCGTGTTAACTAAACGAACGATGATTCTAGGAAAATGATAACATAGAAACTTCGAGGGTGGAGCCAATTCCCTTCTCCAACGCCTCGATTTTCTTGGCAGGGGAAAAATTGTGAATTTCTAATTCGGAATGTTTTTCCCGAGCCGCGCTGACCGTGCGGCCGAGGAAGCCTCAACGGGACATGGCTGGCAGTGTTTACGGTAGGGTAGCCTATTCAGCTACGCACGTGTAAAAAGTGTTAAATATCTTCGCCGACTTACAGATTTTAGTAGAAATTATAGTATCTTATTTAAATATTAAAAAAGTTATAGTATCTTATTTATCTTATTACAAACATCTGTAAGTGGTCAATGCTATTTCCTACCAACGCTGCGAGCCATGTATCGCTACAGTATCAAAGTCCCCGCGTAACGATCATTCCCCATACGACGCATAATGGGTGATCGACGATCAACGCGTTAAGCAAGGCTGTTGAATGTTGCAGTACCGGTGGACGGCTCGCGAGGAGGATGACCCCTCGCCACGAGTGCAGCTCGCAGGCCTGCCTCTCTTAACGTCCCCGCGAAGCGGCGAGGAGGACACCGATCCCGGCGAACTCGGCGAGCGAGGGAGGCGGAGAGTAGGAGGCGGCCGAGGATCGACGAGCCGGCTGGAGGCGCGATAAAAATAAAGAAAATGGGGGTGCCGGATGTGGAGCAGGCTAAGAGACGGCTCCAGGATATTCTGAGGAAAGCGCAGAAGCTCGAGATACCGGCGCAAGAAGTGATCTCGACGCGGACCGCCCAGAAGCTTCTTGCCAAGACGAGGAACGTCCTGGCGTGGACGATGTGGATCACCCTTTTTGTCGTGCTGCTCACCAGCGTGGTCTACGCGCACTGGGAAACAAGGCAGGAAGTCGAGACCATTAGGACTGTCCTCAGGCGAACGGTGAGTCGTCGGCCAGTAATCCTCGCGATTTATCGCGTCGACCTCGCGCTGCTGAATTTTTAGTCGGAGAACTAATGGTAGAGTCAGAGATTCGAGGATAATTAGAGATTGACCTCGACGCGGTTCGTACTTTAACTATGTCGATCGAAGCTGGGTTTGATTCAAATTTTAAAGTGAACTTCGGCCTCGAAAGATTCTCTCGCCTAGTCTATCGTACTGGTGAGACACCTTCCGGTTCACCTTTTTATTTCTGAAGTCAGAAACCACGCGACCATTCGTTAACAGCAGTGCCATACATTCCGACTCGACGTTTCTTTCGGAACGACCAATTTCAAATGTAGCTTTTGCATTCTACGTTCACCCTTCTACGAATGAAGTTCATCGTTTTATTTAAGGAATCGACTAGCAATTAGTAGGAAATCAACGATTCTATTACGAAGAGGTGTATCGCGTGTTTAAAAGTAACTATCAATTAACATTTGACGTTTCAAAACGGTTTTTACAGTACAAATGAAATCACACATTTTATGCTAGCAGTGAACGGGTTACTACAAGATTTGTCATCGTATAAAAGAATAACGAAAACTGTATAGAATGCCTAAAATTCTCACGGCAGTGAACGCGTTAAACTCCGCGCCACGCGTCTCATTGTAAACGAAGGCACCAACACCGAAATCTAGATAGTCGACTCGTTCAGTCCATCGAGTCGAATCGCAAACGAATCGACCCACAAAACGAAGTAGCCACTTTACTCCCCCTAAAAGAAGAGAACCGTGGAACGCGTGTTCCCCGCGAATATCGCACGCGAGCGGCACGGATCTTCCGTCGACGGTTTTCGTTACGTCGTTACCATTATCGGGCAATTCGCGGGGAATCGTGAATCCGGACGACGAAGCCCGCGCAACGATCGATCGGCTTTTATTCGTGAACCGGCGCGGCGCGGCGCTCGCTCGCTCGTCGGCTCGATGGAAACGGTTAACCGATAACTATTGTTTGCAGCCTTCCATTTACGATCTGAATTTTCCATGCCGCGATTCCACTCGTAAACCAGCCATAACCGTTTCCCTTCTCGTCTAATAAATATCGGCTTGCCCGGGACTTTGCGCTCGTTAGTGTCTCCCAGCGAGGAGACCGCGCGCGCCAGCGCCAGCGCGTTTCCTCGAAATTTTATAATTGGAGAACGAGCTGCGGGACGCCGAGCGGAGTCGTCTACGGTGCCCGGCGAACGCGCGAAACG